CATTCCAGCGGATAATGGCAAGTCCCAACAATGCCACACATGGATGGAATACATTCTAGGTAGTGGTGTAAAATCCCTGGCTTGCAGACCACGGCACCTTCCCCTGCCCCAGCTGCTGATTCTTTCGTGCTTTGCTGGTTTTGTGCTGTAAGATTTTAAAGCTAAAATATGTCGGCATTTTTGGCCATGCCTTCAGCTCTACCCACCAGTGGAAGCATCTCCAAAACTGAGGTTTTGCATCCCTGCTCTAAAACGTATTCCAGAATCCTGTGCAATGTTCAGGGGCTGTTGAACACATAATGTTGATATGGAAAATACTTCCTTAAAGTAGGAAATTGGAATAATATTGCAATGGAACAGCATATCAGATACCAGTACTGCCAAATACTAAATACTGCTGCATGGCAGCTTTCATAATTATTTTTATATACTATTACCATGTGTAGTATTTGTGTGGAGAGAGATCTAAGCAGCTTATCGCCATGGGGATACCAAAACAAATGGTATTAAAGATCCAGTATCAAATATAATTGGGTGCTGAATGCAATTATGTAATATTCTGCACATCTTTGAGAATTTTGAGAATATTTTGAAAACACTGAATGTCACCATTTGCAGGAGGGGGATGCTGAAGTGAATTTGGGTGAGCATATTTATTCCCAGTTGTCAAATTGATTCTTTGGTTTTGGGGTTGAACCCCGAAGCCTGTGGTTAGGTAGTGAAACCAAAGGGACATTAGCTTCCTAATTAATTTGGTCACTTTAAGACAGTCAGGTAAGATCATATGTTCTGGAAAATGTAGCAGATCACTGGCCGTGACCTCCTGCTTCCTGCGTTGTCAGGAAATCCTCTGAAAAGAATCCATAGTCAAACAGGAAAGGCCTAGAAACCCAAATCCCATTAAGAGAGATTACTTCATTCTAACATAGGCTACAAAGTACATAGCTTTGTTTAAGTAGGTCAGCTAAGAGTCCTCAATCGGTCAAGGGCTAACAGACCTTTTTTCACCCTTTGAACGCATTTCCTGAAAGTATGAACATTTGGCATATTTATGTCAGTGTATGTTTTAAAGTAGGGGTTGTGTGAATCCAGAGATGCAGAGCAAATGGATAAACATGTGTTGTACCAGTGTGTCAAGGCTGCAAAGAGCCTTCTGTGTGGTGACAGAAATGAGAGGAGGCAGATGTCTGCACTTAAATCCTAACCTGGCAGGACAGTCTGAGCAACTAGCGATTCAGCTCCTGGGAGTGAACTAAGGCAGAGGTTGTGATGGAATTGTATATCAGAGACAAAACAGGGAGAGGAGCTGTGGGCCACACTGGGCAGCTTAGGCTCTGTGCAGAGTCGTTCTTCAGATATTGCTGTGACAAAGACTGTTTCCCAGGGAGGAAAAGTTGACTGTCGGAGCTGCTTCTGGTTTTGTTTATGGAGAGCTAATCCCTTTTGTGTTGCAGTTCAGATGGACTGCCAGTGAATGTAACTAGGGCAGCCCTCCTCAATACAACCTCCCTGAAAACACTTTCTAGCTATGGAAAGGCTAATGGAAGCAATGGATTGCGGGGAGGGGGATGTTCCATTTCAGGAGGGTCCAGCACCAGTGCAAACTGGGCCTGAGGGCGTATTCAGTGATGGGGGCCTAGTCAAGGCAAGTGAGGCTTCCCCCCTAAAACAGAGGTGCGGAATCGAAGATTGGCTTACAGGACCGCCCCTCCAAATGGGTAGAATGAAGCGGCTGTGGACACTGGAGGGTGTGTGGAGGAGCAGTGGTGGCGGACTCCTTGGCTGTTGCCTCCAGTTGGAAGGTGCCAGATCTGGTGCCTCAACCCTTTCCCTGAGCCGTCCTCCATTTGGTCGTTTCCCGGCTTTTGTGCAACCCCCTCCATCCCTGCCTGATCTGAAGAGGTTGAAGTGCCTCTCCTGAGAGAGTTACTGTCAGGAAGAGCTTTAAGCTCAATTGCACTTAATATTTGAGGTATCTCGCCTCACCCCTATTGCCTTCAGTCCCTTCCGCAACTGGAATACAGTCCCATGACTGAAAGCAGTTAGGCATCCTTTCCCTTAAACATGGGATTCAGTTCATTTATTAGCAGTTCTGAGGTAAAGTAAGGAGGTTTTTTTAAGTGGAAATGTGATTATTTTCATCCAACCCAATGCTTTCATCTCAGAATTCACATGCACACTGCTACGTGCCTTGAGTTTACTTCTCCAACAACACTTGGGCTTCAGACTGACTACATCTATTGATAACAGGATATTTCCAGTGCAGTGCACAAGAAAACTGCATGTTTAATTTGAAACAATAATTATATTTGAACTTCACAATATCATGGACAACTTAAAAGTGATATCAGAACTAACCTTACTTTAAAAGACAAGTACATTGATGCTGTTGAAAGAACACATCACATTAATTTTAGGGGTAGCCACACACTTGTTGCCTTGACAATAGATGCAGAGCACATATCTGGGCTTGGATGCAAGAACATGCGTTTTGTGCTGCCTTATTGTTTTCTACATGGCTACAATTAAAACACAACTGCCTTAATCCATGGGATCATTTTCTTTTTAAAAGTGGGCAACAGACCTGAAGCAAGGGCAAAGGGGTAAGAGTAAGAGATGACTTGTTCAACTCGATTTACAGTGTACCGCTGTTGTGGAAACTACAAAGCTAGGGCTTTGTGTAGAGCTCCATGATGCTGGGAAAGGGTGATACGGAGCAGAGATGTGGTGGAAGAGAAAAAGATCACACACAGAAAGATCTTTCCCTTTTTCCAAACAGCTCCCTCCTGAGCCCTGTTTTGCCAAGGAAAACAGATGCTGAGCTTTCATTACATGCGTATATATTATCAGGCACCAAGAACAGAAGATCCTTGAGAAATGTCTAAGGCGTCTATCTCTCTTACATTATTACAATTCCCAGAAGAGTTTGAAGGAGAGCCATGATTATTTAAAGCAGAGCCAGAGACTTCCCACATTATCTTGATTGTGCATGGGGAATGCACATTAATTTCTTGTGTGAATCCGTCATGCTTATACTTCTGTTAAGGGAATACTGATAGTGCATTGCTGGATAATATGACACCTCCCCCAGAAGTTGCATTCATTGCTGGGGGTTCCTCACCACCATCTTCCTGCCTCAACAATGACTCTTCTCCTGCGTAATGGGGCACAAGCCAGAAAAGTATCCCAAGCCATTCATGTCGTTGTGCAGATGCTTCTGGTGGATTGTGCTCTATGAGACTGCTCCCTCCGTCTTCCACACTGCTGTGCTTAACTGTGCCTCCACAGTTTAAGTTGCTTTTTGCCTCCTGGCAAGAACCCGCTCAGTACATAAAGGCTTAAATATGTGCAGCTTTTGATCCAATTCTCCACATCTGTAGTATGGGTCTAGAAATGTCTGGTACATGAAGAACCATCATTCAATAAGCCAGCAAGAACCATGTGGCCATCTATTTTATTTATTTTAATTTTATTTTTCGATTTATATCCTGCCTTTTTCCTACAGAGGGCTTAAGGCAGCTAACATCGCCTCCTCCATCTTATCCCCACAACAACAACCCTGTGAGGTAGGTTGGGCTGAGAGTCTGTGACTGTCCCAAAGTCACCCAGTTGACTCCATGACTGAGCAGGAACTAGAACCCAGATTGTCTGGCTCCCAGTCCCATCTCTTAACTACTACACCACACTGGCTTTATCTAAAATCATAAAGTTGGATTTTTAAACCTTCAGAATGGAAGAGCTACCTGTGTCCCACATGGCAGGTCAAGGGCGGATAGTTGTCACAACTGGCAGTAACTTAACACAATTTCCTCAACAGGTGTGGCCTCAGTAGTAGAGGGTTTTGTTGTTATTGGAGCTCCCTGTGCCTTCTGGAAATTGCCTCTTGCCTCCTCCAGTCCCAGGTATCTGCTTCCCCTTGGCTTGTCTCTCTGGCTTTTGACTCCTGACCAGCATTGACTGCTCTGCTCTATTCGGATTGCCCTAACTTGCACTTGTTACCCACCCTGATCTCTGGATAGCTTGACTACGGGTTGGAATGGGTCTGTATATCGTGCCAGTTGCCTGGGTCCTGGTGCCCCAATCTGATACCCAGCCGCCCACACCCTGGATGCTGACAATCTGTCTCTGGACCACCAAAGCAATATTTCTGATTAGCTCAGCTATGAAAGAGCAATTACATAGCAAGTCAGGAGGGCAGAAAAGAGATGAACCAGGAGTATCTGTGGGCTATGGATTTGGAGGTTACAGTTGCCCCAGGAGCTTCAGGTACACCCTCCCTGTGGGAGCAATCTATGATTGTTCAACTCGTATCTAGGAGGTCTACCATTATAAGAGTCCCTGGGGCCTACAGGAACTTCTGTCTTGTCCTGCCCCCCATGGCAGTCCTCTAGATGGGGAGAAAAAGGAAGCAGGAAAAAGAAAGCTGTGTGGCAGAAAGAGGGAGAAAGGATAAGGGAGTGGCTAGAGAAGAGGGGCAGAGGGAGAAGGGGGCAAACTTGCCCGCATTTTGGTTCTGCCCCATCCTCTCTGCCCCATAGTCCCCAAAAGTTTCCCTCTCTATGGAAAGCAGTCTTCAGTAGAAAAAAGACTTTCTACTCCTGCTGTAAAAGATACTTGCTTCTTTAAAGAAAACAAAACAACAACAAAACACCCCATAAAATTATCAGTCCTTTTCAACTTATTTTCTATTTCAGGCAGGTTTCTACTTTTGCACACACCCTAAAATAAATGAACAAGAAAAACAACAACAAAAAGCCAGTCAAACTCAAAAATCCTCTTCTTTACAACCAGCAACTAAACCCAGGATTCTCTGGGAAAGATGTAAAGACTGCAATATATTTACAGAACAGAAATTAGAAGTCCTAACATGGAGATGGTTGTTCTTCTTATCTTGGTGGAAACGTCTTTTCCAATTCCTTTGACCCAAGGGAAGGTTAATTTCCTTCCAAGGAGTCCCCCCTCCCCGCAGAGAAGATCATTTATACTCAGTGACACTAAACAGGTATGCAAAATCTGTACAGTCCTGGTATTGCATAAGAAGGACAAGAAAGATCTTCTCTCGGTGGGGCCAGGGTCAGCTGATGATGCAACCACCCTTCTCCTTGAATGGGTTCTTGTCTTCGGGGACCCCTTTTATGAGTGGGTCTTCGGCAGCCATGGATTCTATATACTCCTTGAGTTCTTTTGCTGTCTTGGAGACCTGTGGGGTAGTGGGAGTGGGGGGAAAGAAAGGTGTTCTTACTGCACTCTTTTTGGAGGACTGGCCCAAGCTATTTTGAGTCCTGAGGCAGAAAACACAAACAGCGTTGCTCTGCTAGTGAATCAACATGGTGCTTGATCCACTGGGAACTCTGCTGACGAGAGAGCGATCTCGTGAAAGGGGCAGAATTGGCTCATGCATAGCTCTCATTTCACCTGGGTTTGGCAGGAAAAAATCCTCACTGACTGTGCCTGAGGGGTCTGTCTGTCTCATTTTTTTTCACCCACACTTGAAGCAGTGCTTGAGCAGAAGTTGTGCCCATTTGTCTCATCATTCAGAGCTGACTGGGGTGTCCGCACACTCAAATTCAGTAGGAGTAATTTGCAACTCAGCCTGCCTAGGGCTGGGCTGCTGCAAAAGTAATAACCAACCCTGTGGATTCTAACGCTGGTTTACTCCATTGAGCAGCTCAATCTGCTGCTCTCCAGATGTGCTGGACTGCATCTCCCATCATTCCCAGCCAGGAAGGGATCAGGCTGGGAAGGCTACTTTCACAAGGGTAAATGACCTGTTGCCCTCCAGATGTTTTGGCTTGGGATTCCCATTGTCCCTTGCTGTTGGCTGTTCTGGCTAGGATTCATAGGATTTGTAGGCCAAAACATCTGGAGGGCCCTGAGCTGCCCTAGCTAGATGTGCCTACAAAACCCCACATTTATGTTATTTCAGTGCTTTTATTGTAAAAAAAAAAAAAAAAGTGCGGGCACTCACGTCGCCACCGGCAGTAAGCACTCAGAGCGTGACTACACACACCAGTCTCAAGCCGAGCAGCGGAGCAGTGTCCCAAGCCGAGCAGCACCCTCACTATCTCACTATCAGATCGCAGACACAACAGCAGCCTGCAGGCACTGTGTTAATGATGCTTGCTGCTGATCTGCTACTCTGTTCAAAATCACTTCGTAAAATCCATTGAAAAAATGATGCCGGAACGCTGTTCCGGTGCGTTCTATGACCAAAAAAAAGCCCTGTGTTATTTTAACATGCCTTGTACTTTGTGTTTGTTATGCACAAGGACTGTGCATAGTCCTTGTTCTACTTTCTGGTGAAAACAGTCAGATGTGTTTGTAGTGGTATATAATTCTGGGCATAATTCTCCAGAAATATCTCCAGTGCAAGGCACGTCTTAATACAGGGGGCTGCATAACACAGATGGCATTCTCACACAGCTCATGTTCATTTCGGTGGGTGTTGCCCAGGAGAACTTCTCAGGGGATGGTGCCCTCAGAAGCCAAAATGAATTGCCTCTCCATTCCATCTGAGGATAACTTTAAAACTTGAAATCTTTTAAGCATAGCTTGAAACACTTGAGTGCACTGGTACCAGCACTAGTTGGCTGGAGGAGAGTGGAAACTTCACCGTCTTGTATTAAAGTGTTTGGAAATTGTTACCATTTGTCTTTCAAGCTTCACTTCCTTTTTCAGTTGGTCCAGTTCCATCTTTAGGAGCTCTTTCTCAGTCATATCCTGAGCCATTTTGACCTGTAATCCAAATAAACATCCACATCAGTTGTTTACATGCCACTTAGAGGCAACTCTGCCAAGTTTGATTTTCAGAGCTTCTCTCCTCAGAGCAGCTTTGGGGACTGATTGCCACTGGGATCCTAGCAGTAGGGTGAGCTAAACCCTGCCTTGCACTAGTTCAGATTCTGTTGCCTTTCTGTGCCCTGAAATGGTGTGAAGGGTTGAGAAGTTTGCTTAGTAACCGAAGAACTCCTGTGGCAACAAGCATCCACTGAACAAAGGCGGACCAGCAGGAGGAACCTCCCCCAGGAGAAAGTAGGAAAGGTTGTGCTGGGAATCGACTAGGCACTTACTCTTGGTGCGCTTTCCAAAGTCAGGGTTAGGGTTAGGGTTGCATCTACTTTTGGTGATGGCTGAGAAATGGGAAGTGTGGGAATCAAGGGAGCAGAGGAGAGTTGGGTTGCCTCGAGGCTGTCCCTCCCAGGTACTCGGACAAGTCATGGGAACTGACGGGATTTGGAAGAAAAGAGAGGGGCCTTGCCCTGTCCTGTCCCGAACCCCATGCTGCAGGCTGGATAGAAGAGCTACCCAGTTAAAGGGCCTGCATAGATCCTGGAGGTTAGCCCTTTTCCTGAATGACCCACCCTGAGGGGTGGACCAGCATTAATGGAAAGGTGGCTCTTCAGAAGTAGTTTCTAGTTTGGGTTCAACAAATCACACAGTTTATGGTTTGAGACTAGTCTTCTAGTGGCTGTAGCTTGCTAGTCATATACAGGCAATAAAGAGCTCTTTTGCAAAGAGGCTGTCTGTGATTTTGAAAGCTTGAAACGAATAAGGGAAAACCAGCTCTCAACAGGTTGCCACAGCCACAAGACGGGGAGCGTCATGGGTGACGGCGGAGGGGAGGAGATTAAAAAGAAGCAGTGAGATGTGTCACGCAGGGAGAGGGGTAATGAGAAAGAGAGCATTAGTACCAGTTGGGATGGAGGACTCAATTATTCCAGAACTTGCCAAAATTCTCCAAAATGCATTTGCAACCCTGTTTGAGTTTTTGCAATTATTCATTTGTGATCTATTTTTCAGATCAAACAGAAGAAGCATGCATTACAAATGACATTTTCATTCATGTGTTTTTTTCAAAAGTGCATACCTCCCCCCTTGACTAACTCAAAGCAGTCCATCTAAAAAAAAGAAAAAAACCACATTACTTTTAAACTGAATCACAATTTTTTTAATTTGCAAACTTTTTTCCAAAAAGAATTCTGTGCTCACAGTTACATTCAGGATTGGAAATATGACATTTTGGGATTATTTGCAAATAAGCGAGCATGTCTTCTTTCTCTGATAGTAGTAGTAGTGAGAGGTGTAGGAAAGAGAGGAAGAGGCAGTAGTGAGGTTTGGAAAGAGAGAGGGAGGAGAGGCTAGAGCTGGTGGGCAAGGGGGCACCTCCCCACAGGGGTCCACTGGCAACAGCCGTTGGAGCCTCTTCAGCAATGCAACCTGCAGATCCACCCGCCCCTCATTCCGGCTCAGAGAATGGTGAGCAGGAGCAACAGATACTGCGGCCTCCTTGCTCCCTGGCTGCATCCTTGTTAGGCAATTGAGCAGTGAAGAGCTGCCCAGAGATGAAAGTCATTGGATGGGCTAGAAATATCCCACACAAATAAAATAAGAGAGAGGATGAGGAGCAAGAGCAGTTGGTGCCAGTGGTGCTGAGAAGGCAGAGGCACTGAGGCAGGGGGCTATGAAGGTATCTTGTCTGGGGGACCTCAGGAACCTGGAGCCAGCAGTGGTGGGCACTTGTATTTATTTATTAAAAGTTTTCCTATCCCATCCCCTACAGAACGTCTTGGGAGAGCTTGCGATAAATAAGCCACGTTACACACTTGTAGGGTGGCCAGGGATTCAATTTTACAGAGGAGAGCCCTGCATTTGAAGAACTGACTGAGGACAGTCCTCTGCTTGAAGGAGCTCTCTGTTTAAAGGGCTCTTCAGTCCATGCCAAAGAACCAGAGCAAAGGAAAGCAGGAATGTTGAAGCTGCCCATCAGGAATAAGCCCCTGGACAGCAGACTGAGCAAATGCACAGGTCATCTGGTCAGTTTTCCTCGTGATGGTGCGACGCTCTGCGTTTCTACTGCAGCTAGCCATGCTTTTCCAATTTGCATGCATAGGCACTGGCATGGGCAAATGTTATACAAATTAGCATCCTCTTCTGTCCTTCCTTTTAGTCATGCATGTGCGCCTTTTGACAGCATGCAAGTTCCCATTGTACTGGGAAGGATGTGCTGCACCATCGCTAGACGTGGAACGTGGTAACAAGGGGAAAGGAGCCTGCTGCATCCGGGCTGGGATGGCCCTGGCAAGGAAGGAAGGACGGACTTGGGCAGCTCTTTAAGTTTTCAGACTCATTCATATTAATAATGATAGGTAATCAACACCCTGTCTAGTCTGGCCGTCAGGAGTGCCCACCAGGTTTTGTGCGCTTGTATTTCAGCTGCATCACTTGCAACCAGAGTGGGGAGGATTTCCAATCTCCCTGACCCCCTAGTTGTACAATAAATAAATCTGACTTTAATCCTTTGGTTTTATAGCTAAGCTGCTTATGTGCAGCCCGTAGCCACCCCATATGTCAGCACTTTGATTAGCTATTATTTCCCTAGATGGCTGCAAAAGCCTTCAGTTATTTCCTGACTTGAAAAGGGAACTAGGAAAGGGTGAGCTTGGGAAATTTTATATCTTTATTTATACAGATGGTGAGAGATGATGGGCAACTCCACTGAAACTCCTGATGGTATCTCCACTGTTCGTCTCGATCTCGTCCGCCTCACTTGTGTGCCGTACGAGCTCATTCCGTATGAGCCCGGTGGGTGCATCCAGTGCCAGATCCGGGCTTTGAAGGCCCTTGGGCAAGGGGGCCTCACTGGACTCCTCTGTCAGGCAGTCTTACCGCCATTGTCCACAGTGGCTGTGGGCAAGTGGGCAGTCTCGGCCGGCCGGCCGGCCTGCCTCTCTCTCCCCCACCTTGCTCTAGTCACTTCCTGGGCCAGAGACCCTGGGCAGGAAAACAAGCAGCTTACAGGAGCGAAGCACCTGTAGGACTTGTGCTACAGTGTGATCCCTCAGCAGATACTTGGCTGTGTCTCACCGTGACACCAGAGGTGCTGTGGCACAACTGGGCAGCACCCAAATGTTTTGAATGAATGACTGAATCAGCCCAGGCATATCTACGCGATCGGCATTGCCGAGCTCAATAGCGATTTCCTCTCCCTAAATTGCTGCGGAAGCTGCCAGGCTCCACGGGGGAGTGAGTGGTCTCACGAATTCTTTGTTCCACCACTAAACTGTGATTCCAGCAATTCCTTGTAGGAAGCCAGGGCACTTGTATTGCTATAAAGCCATGGCAGGGTTGCAGTGTGTCCACAGACATGGCCTTTGTCTCCTCCACTGGGGTCACCTGCCCTTTCCGCTGCCAGCTCCCCCCACATCACAACTATTGAACCTCTTCCAACTCAAGAACCAACTTCAATTTCGGAGAAGCTCTCTGGAGCCACACTATCTCATGGGAGGGGCCAAATGCAAAAGGGGTGGGAGCAGAGGGGTCACGGCACCCGATCCTGCCTTCCTCTCTTCTATCCCACCTCAGTCCACCTGCTGGCACTGCCTAAAGCAGATCGCTTCACCCTGCTGCATGACCAGGTGAGCCTTATCTTGAGATACATTGGGGGTACCTAAGAGATCTTGGTTCCAGAAGTGGAAATGCATATTCGCTATGCATGCAGAATAGTTTTACTGAACAAGTGGCTATAAAGCCATGGTAGAATCCAATCTATTACTGATAGGATGGGGGCTACTAGTAACGGGGACTATTTTGGTAGCAGCCCCATGGCATCTAGGCAGCATCTAATTGTCCATAGGACCTTTTGGATTCCCAGCTCTGAAGTTGGAGGCTGTGCTGTGAAACTAGAGCTCTGATACCCCAGGAACCAGGCCAGTGGTCTCTGATGTCAAGAATATGACCTCAGAGACAGATAAAAGGGGCTATTTGGAGGGGATGTGGAGTGAGGAGACTGAGGAGACCAAGGAAAGAAGTATGCTAAAGCCACTGCAGCCTCCTTCCTTCCCCATCTGAGGAGCTGTAGCTTGGTGGGTGAAAAAGGCCCTGTAGAAGTAGTGCAGGGTATGGAGCCTGGGAGGTAAAGCTTGCTTCTGTCCCACCTGTTTTGCACTGAATGCCTTTAAGCCTCTGAGTTCAGGGGCTCAGAGCATCCCCTAGGCTTGTGTCCTTAAAGATGTCAGGACTCATGGCATTTACGAGGGCTTCTGATGGCTTCAGTGGTGCTAAGAAGGTTGTGGAACTTCTCCCAACCCAAACTTCTCCCAACTTCTTCCCTGAGATTTAATTCTGGAGGATGCAATGGAGGGGAACTCCAGTGATTGCCACCCTTCTGGGGTTCTGCTGTGAAGTGCTAGCTTCCTGTTCTAGCAATTGTTCCTGCTAGCGTAGGTTAGATGGTGCTGGCAGCCTGCCATTGGTGGTTACTGTAGTTCATTCTATGAATTTTCATTTTCAGTGTTTGCCTGTGATTATTATGGCTTAGGACTAGGGCAATGAAGTGCACCAGTGCAGGAGTAACAATCCTGCTGTTTGAAAGTCTGCAGACAGTGAAGTAAATTACTTAGATTTATGCTGGAGTACTCCTCTCAAACCTGGCTATAGTCTTCAGCTTGCTGAAGTACAAATCCCATCATCTTTGGCCGCTGAACATGCAGGCTGGGACTGATGGAAGTTCCAGTCCAAAAATCTGGAGCGTGCCAGGATGGTAAAAGCAACACTTAGACCATTCACATGAGTGGTTTAAGAAAACAATCTTAAAGCAAGGATTTTCAAACAGTGATCCAAAGAAGGTGAGGTTCCTCCTTTGTCAGGGTTCCACAGTGATCATTTATCTATCTTGAGTTAATTCAGACTTAGGAGTACACTATCCTTCCTAAACGTAGCATGCGCCCCAT